TTTGTGCAGCTTCAACGGGTGACCTCGGAGACTAGGCAGCTTGGCGGGACTAAATAGCCAGGACAAGTCTGGACCGATCTTACCCGTTAAGATACGGTAAGTGAGAATCAAGTCTCCTCTAATTCTGCGGTAGTGCATTGAGTACATACCCAAGCTAAGCAAACGTTCGGGATACGTTTGCCCCCGTAATCCTTGCACTAACCTTGTACCCACTCGCAAAACCCTCTCCAGTTCCATTTTGTCCCTTACAAGACAAGGTGGACAAGCCTGGATACAGTACTCTAAGTGAGGTCGCACGAAAGCTGAGAACAGCTTCACAAAGATATTGGCCGTTAGGACACCGAAGGAGCGGCGAATAAACCACATCATACGGAACCCTCTACAAGCAGCCTTCCTCCAATTTTCCCCAGAGTGAAGCAATGAGGTATGGGTGATACCTAGATCAACCTGCTGAATGACAACAGGGAGTTCACTTCCACCAACTACATAGCGCGTGGGGGGACTAGCACCTCCAATGCGGAGGACAGAACATTTCGCCTGATTTATGGGCATCAACCATAAGGTTGACCAATCCCAGAGCCTATCCAAAGCACTCTGAAGTGCCTCAGAGCCACCAGGGATATCCACAATATTCCAGAGCTTGAGGTCATCAGCAAACAATAGCGACGATACTCCAAGCTCCTGGGGTAGGTCATTGACATAAATTGCGAAAAGAAACGGCCCTAGAACCGAGCCCTGCGGAACGCCACTAAGAACAGCTTGTCTAAGCGAAAGGCTACGCCCCACGCGTACACACTGTTCTCTGCCTTCTAGGAAAGCAGAAACCCATTTAAGGGCGGCTCCAGATATCCCATACGATCTCAACTTCAATGAGAGTCGCTGATGTGGGACAGTATCAAAGGCTTTCGAGAAGTCAACGAAAAGCACGTCGATGGCGTGGCCGTTGTCTACTGCCTCAGCCCAGCTTTCACGAGCTACAAGCAAATTTGTCAGACATGAAAATCCCTTACGGAATCCGTGCTGGGCCGCACTGAGAAGGCTAAACTTAATCAGGTGATTCTCGACCGAATCCCTGACCAATTTTTCAAACTTAACTACTACGCTTGTTAAGCTGACAGGCCGGTAGTTCGCGGGCAGAACTCTGTCCCCGCCCTTAAAAATCGGACAGATAATTGCCTTCTTCCATTCCGAAGGCAAGGCACAGCTGTCGAGTGATATTGTAAACATGCATGTCAGAGGGCCACTTAGCTCAGCGGCCAATTCATGCATCAGCTTCGGATGAATTGAATCAGGGCCAGAAGCTTTGGAAGGATTTAGCCCTTGCAATAGCCTGAAGACTTGTGTCTCTGTTATGCTGATTTCAGTTAGGCAAGAATCCTCCGGAACTTTAGTGACCAGCTCAACTTGAGGTAGAGAGGCCTCATGAGAAAAGACACCAGTATACTGTTCGCTAAGTATACAGGCATTATCATAGTCGGTATGCCCATGGGTCCCGTCCGCTCGTAGTAAAGCCGGTATAGACGAGTTTGTACCGCTACGTCTCTTTACGTAAGCAAAGAACTTTGGGTTTTTTACGGCTGCGTTAGCCAAATCCTCCTCGTACTGAAGACGAAGAGTTCTAAGATGATGCTTACATTTATTTCTAACCGCTCGATAGCTTTCGTAGGTGCTGGTTGATGAAGCCGCTTGGTAAGTTCGCCAGCACTTAGAGCGCTTCCTGAGCAGGTATTTACCTGTATGATCTATCCATGGAGGCCGCGCCCGTGTCACCCTTCTCTTAGTGAATGGGATGTGGGGAGCAGAGATCTCGGTGAGGTACGCTTTAAATTTCTCCCAGGCTGTCTCAACGGTGTCAGCCACGGTGATCGCACAACGCAAAACTGAAGCTTTGGCTCGTATTGCGTTAAAGTCTGCCCGCCAAATATTTGGACATGCCTCAGCGGCAGCTTGATGACACTTAGTTAGAGCACATCGAAAGGATATGCAGACATGGTCACTGGCTCCTAGAGGACAGTCGTAGGTAATATCACTTACGAAATCGTGTGACTTCGCAAAAATGAGATCCAAGGTAGACGGAATTTGGTTGCGCATATATCTAGTCGGGAGGTCCACGAACTGATGCAAAGGCAGTTGCAATGTTAGCTCAAGGAGATCCGAACCGAAAGTGCCCACCGCCGAACTGCAAGATAGATCAGCCCAGCAGACTTCAGGGAGGTTGAAGTCACCCAGTATTAGACACCTATTGGCAGCCTGAGTACGAATAAATTCAATAACCTCACTGGAGATACTACCAGGACTTCGATATACCACTACAACTGTAAACTGAGCAGAGGAAGTGCACACAATAGCCGAGAGGGCTTCAACAGTTTGATCCGGCGACTGGAACACACAAGTCCTCAACACATCGAGTTTACAACTCACATAAAGAGCGACGCCCCCACCTTGGCGGCCAACGGAGCGATCGCATCTAAGCAGTGCGTAGCCAGGCAAACATACTTCACCGTCTGTGATATCCGGGGACAGCCACGTTTCGGTGATAGCAAGTATGTCGGGACTAGATTTGTCTACAAGTAGACCCACCTCGTGTACCTTGTTCCTTAGGCTACGCACATTACTAAGCACTACCCGAAGGAACTCGGCACGACCAGCCCTGGGTCGTACGCTACCAGGAGAGGTTCTGGTAGGGCAGAATTTGACTTCCGGCTGACCACCTGAAAATCCACAAGACGAAGGCCTTGCTCACCAGCCGCCCGCCTGCTTTTGAGGCTTTTGATGGCTTCCTTTAACTTCAGTCGATCTGCCAGTGGGAGGTCCGGCTGAACGCTGACATTACTACCCTTGAGTTTGAATGCAAAGCGCATTAACGCTTTGCGTTCCTCCGGGGAGTAAGAGAAGGCAAAAGAGAAAGTGGACAGAGCTAAGCAAATGGAATACCAAGGTATTTGAGTCATTAAAAAAAGAATGCTTAAGCATTTCCTGCTGGGCTGGTTACGTGAAGAGAAAAATTAAGAGGGCAAGAAGAGAGAGGAAAGAGCTAGACAAGCAAAATACTAATATATTTTAGTCATTAGGAAAAGAACTGAAAACGGTAGGGGGTCAGTTAGGAATAAGGAGAGGTTTGGTGTTGCCACCCAAGAGCATCGAGCTGACTAGCAAAAGCCTTAATCGTAGATCCCTTAACCACATTATCTGGAAGAAAATTCCAGCGCTCTATAATTCGGCGAGACAGACGAGTTTCTGGCCTAATCCGATCAGACCGTGGTCTATGCAGCTTGAATGGGTGAGCGCAGAGACTAGGCAACGTACTAAATAGCCCTGACAAGTCAGGGCCGATTTTACCCGTCAAAATATGATAAATGAGAATTAAGTCCCTTCTTATGCTTCGGCAGTACATGGAGCACATCCCTAAACTAAGTAAGCGTTCAGGATACGTTTGGCGAAGTAGACCCTGCACTAACCTAGTACCCAGTCGTAACACAATCCGAGTCCATTTTGTCTCGGATAAGACAATGGGGACAAGCCTGGATACAATATGTCAAGTTGGACAAATGCCGAGAATAGCTTCACAAACATTTTGGCCGTTAGGACTCAGAAAGAGCGCCAAATAGACCACAACATACGAAACCCCTGACAAGCAACCTTGTTCCAACTGTCACCAGAATGAAGAGCTGATGGGTGGATGACACCTAAATCAACCTGCTCAGTAACAGCAAGGATTTTACCACCACTGAAAACATATCACGTGGGAGGACTAGAAGCTCCGATTCGAGGAACAGAGCACTTGGTCCTACAGTATCAAGCATAAGATAGATCATTCCCAGAGACTATCCAAGGCACAGTGAAATCCCTCAGGACCCCCCGCCCACTCCGGGATATCCACAATATTCCAGAGCTTAAGGTCGCCAGCAAAGATTAGTGGAGCCACTCCTAGCACCCCAGCATGTTATTTACAAAGATCGCGAACAACAATGGCCCAATACCAAGTCCTGCAGGATGCCACTAAGGACAGCTTGCCTAAGCGAAAGGCTACGCCCACGCGTACTGTCGCCTCCTCTCCAGGAAAGCAGACACCCATTTCGGGGCGCAACCAGATGTCCCATAAGATCTCAACTTTAGTGAGTTTAGGATAAGGAAGTGTCAAAGGCTTTCGAAAAGTCCACATATAGCACGTCTACAGCGTGGCCACAATCTACCACTTCGGACCGGCTTTCAGGAGCTACAAGTAGATCAGTCTGACACGAAAAACACTTGCGGAATCCATGCTGCGCAACAATGAGAATGTTAAATCTATTCAGGCGGTTCTTCACCGAATCAGTTTTTCAAACTTGTCAAACTGACGAGCCGGTAATTTGCGGACAGAGTTCTCTCAATTCATGCATCGGCTTCGGTTGAATTGAATCAGAACCGGAAGCTTTGGAGGGATTAATGCCTTGCAATACCTCAAAGACGAGTCTCCGTTAAGTTACGAATCAACGGGCAACCCATCAAAGCCGCATATCCTGCAACGGATAATCCATGATGGATCTCACGGAGAAGTTGGACAACACTGATGAACACCACTTATTGACGGACAAAGGTACAAGTTCCCGCATACTTTAATGCGACCTATGGTGTCCAAATAAGATTACGCGCAAGTAATTCCATCAACTGAATTCGAAGAACTACTGTCAGTATGTGGTAGGTAGGACAATGGTATAGAAACTGCCACTGAACCCCATCAGTAACGGAAGCCTGTTTGCTCTTCCCAAGTCAAGGATTTTGAACTGATGAGGCGACAAAGGAGAACTGAGACCATAACTTCGACGTTACCAATGGTAGGTTAATGCAGTCGGTGTCATTTCCGAGATTCCTTACTAGCATTGCCTAACCAGCCTTGAGAATAATTGGATACCTAAAGGCCACTGGTGTCGTTCATGTGATCAATAACACGGAACTAAGATAAGGTCAACATTTACTGATAATAAGATAAAACATGAATGCGCTGTACATTATCCGACATTTCAGTAGGATCCTGAACGTGAACGGGAAGCGGAGCCTCGGTGCTTTGGAGGAGGGCTGCGAGATTGCCTAGTTTCCCGACGGTCATGTCGCCTTCCGCTTTTGCGCCCGTCCACATTATCCTCTAGGCCATTGTGAGAAACCGAACGGGAACGTGTGGCTGATCGAGACCTTGAGGCAGAACGACCGCCTCTGCCATCACTGACCCGCCTCCGGCTTTCGTCCCGGCGATCGCTGGACTTCCAGCGGCCATCGTTTCGACCCTTACGACTAGACCGCGACCTAAAATGGGAAAATATAAAGTCTCAGGAGCCAAAACTCGGTGAAGAACTAGGTTCGATGTCTTCCTATATGACGGTGCCAAAAATAACGACAACCAAGCGACGTGAGTCAGCAGGTAACCGTGTGGTGTTCAGCGGTGCCAGCTCCAACCAGCGTAACAAAAAACTACGGATGTAATCAAGTTTAACAACTAACCTTGATCGTGAGCGACTGCGAGAACGGCCACGACGACTAGGTGGACCGCCTTTGTCATCTCGACCTCGGTCCTTTAGCCGCATTTCTGCAGGGGCTGCGAGAATAAAAAAGGACCATAAGAAACTGCATGAAGCAGCAGGGAATTAGGCAAGGCAAGGTAGCACAAAATTAATCAGCATGCAAGTGACACGGATAAGGTGAGGGATAATAGGGCGCAAGCGTGTACACATTTCGGTGAAACCCTTGACGCGCTTTATGCGCACGGCGCATTCTAAGCGAGCCCAATAACGGGGCTGTGGGTCAATGTAGTACCCACACAGAATCAAAAAGGTGGCACTAGAAAACGACGAAGGCCTGCATCCGCGGTTCTTACTTTTGCGATAACCTCTAGTAAACTCCACTTCAATGTCACGACCCATGAATCGCGTGTGGTCCATGTTGTAGTGGGCATCTTCGGCATCCCTAGGATCTTCAAACGTACCATGGAGTCAAGGAACTTTACACAATTTAAAAGAAAACGACTCACCGACTAAGGAACTGGTGCTGTTGGGAACCTTACTGACATTGCACTTGGGCGTGAACCCTCAATCAGTGGTACCGGACCAGACTGCAGTCAACTGCAGTTGACTCCTTACTGAGTTATATTGGATCATTGCGAATGAGCGTTGCCAAATGACGCTTGGACCCGATTGAGCTGACCTGACGGATTGTTTGGAGCTAGTTGATTTTAAACGGGGATTGCGCTTCAGCCAGCGGCCCACCGTTTGAAACATCCTTGGTCATGTTGTAGTCAATTAAGGGTTGAGTGAACCACGTAAGGTGTAGCAGCTGTAAGCGCAGCTACGCTGTTGACTGACTGTATTGTGTTGAATTGAGCTGAGTTTGATTTTGGTTGAACTGAACTGATTTGCAAAAAGCATTGGGTTCTGAGCCTATAGAATAGATACAACAGAACACAGTAAGCAGGTGTATAGGTAACAGGTTCAAAAAGGATATTCAATAAACGCGTAACCCTTCATTCGTCCGGTGAAAAAATCCAACGGAATTGTAATATCTACTATACGTCCATATCGACCGAAAGCGCGCCGAAGGTCTTCGTGCCTAATATTCGATAAGAGCCGTATAAAAGAGAAAAACTCACCGGCATGCATCAGGCAAGTGGCGAACGTACAAAGACGTTGTTCGGCGGGGCATAGCAACTGCGAAATATGGCGACCAATGGAGGCCGGACTTGGATTTACGCGGTTAAACAAACATGAACAAATGAAAAGCTACACACTATTTGGATGGGAGAAATAGGTTTATTGTATATTATTTTGCTAGATGTTTTATGGCCTTGCTTTTACATGGCGCTTTCAAATTGAAGTTTTTTTTCAAGTTTAAGTTGGACAGGAACGGTAGAAAAATTCCCGCGTGTGTACTTTCTTCAATGCGGCGTTGAATCAGGATGGGGTTCGTGTGAGCGATTAGAAAACTATAAGAGCCAAGTCACTACACACAAATCACATCACAGTCAACCAAGCAATGCCCACGCGACCTGCAATAGCAATCCCCGCAGCACCGGCCACGGGAATAAGAATAAAGTCTGAGCGAAGTGTAACAATAGACAAAGAATACTGTTACTTGTAGTACAGGATAGCGTGTGTGGATAAGACAATAATAGTAATAAATTTGAGAATCCAAGGAAAGTTTATTTAGAAGTTAAGTACCAAACGGAAAGGTCTGAAACGGTGACCTAAGGGCGTCGAGTCGATGTCCAAACTCCTTCACTCTTGGTGCTAATACTACTTTGCTGGGCAGTGTGTTCCATGAGTCGATGACCCTGCGTGATTAACGAAGGTCAACTCCAACGCCATCACGTCTGTGCTTATGCAGTTTCAGAGGGTGACCATGAAGTAATCTAATCTTAGCCGGATGGAACAGTCAAGTTAGACAAGGCCCAATCTTGCCAGTCAATGCACGGTACGTAAGAAACAGGTCTCCCAGAATGGGCCGATAAAGCAACGGAAAAATCTGCAACCTGAGCATGCTATCAAGGTACGAGAGATGCCTCAGTCCTTGTACCATTTTGTGCCCAATCCCAGAACGCGTTCAAGTGTCAGCTTGTCGCGTGCCAAGCATGGAGGACGGACCTGCACGAGTACTCCAAAGTATGGCTTGACAAAGGCTGAGAACAATATAACAAACCTTTCATTTGTTAGGATGCCGAACGACCTGCGGATCATCAACAGCATTCGGAAACCCTTGCGGTTAACCTTCGTCCAATTCTCATTGGATTTGAAGTCAAAGGATAGCGAGATACCCAAGTCGGTTTGTTCAGGCCCCTGAAGCGCTACATTTCTGCCAAGTACGTAAGGAGTTGTGGAAGTGCTTGGTCCTGTTCGCAAGGGCAAACTCTTGGCAACATTGTTTGGCGGCTGCCACCATCCTGACCACTGCCAAAGCTTGTCGAGAGTTGTCTGCAAAGCCATAGGTGCAACAGCATAGTTCACCTATTCCACAATTTTATGTTATTCGCAAACATAAGGGATGGTACCTTAAGCTTCTCAGGGTGGTCATTGACATACAATGCAAATTGAAGAGGTCCGAGAATCGACCCCTGACGGACACCCACTCAGGACGACTTGTCTGAAAGTCAGCCCGGAGCCTACTCGAACGCTTAGCTACCATTCTTCCAGGAAAGCCGAAATCCACTTCAGTGCTTGACCTGAGACGCCGTAGGCTTCCAGTTCAAAATAAAGATGGGAACACGGTACGGCGTCAAAGGAGTTAGAAACGTTGCTGAACAAAACGTCCACCGCCTGTCCCTGATTCACAGCATCAGGGCAGCACTCTCGGGCTACCCACATGTTAGTCTAAATGGAGTGGCCTCTGCGGAAACCATGTTGAGACGGGCTGAGCAATCTGAACTTAGCCAACTGCTTCTCCAGAGTAGTACTTACCAACTTCTCCAACAGTTCCACTCATAGACTTGTTAGGATAACCGGGCTGTACTTTTCAGGTAGGTGATTAACACCCTGTTTGAGAAAGGACACAGGTTAGCGCCTCTTCAGTCAGCAGGTAGGGAGCAGCTACCAAGAGACTTCTCAATCCTACATTTAGTCAGTTTACACAGCAACTCAGTCAGCTCGTACAAATGTTTGGTATGGAAGGGCTCTGTCCCGGCAGCTTTAGTGGGCTTCAGGTCACGCAGGAGCTTGAGTACCTGAGTTTCTGAGATGGGAAGGTACGTCAGCAAGGCACCCACTGGTATTGTGCCTCCAATTCGATATTAAACAACGGGGATTCATGAACAAACTACCTAGCATATTGTTCCGCACGTACGCAAGCCTTGGCCAGTTTGGTTGATATTCAGCAACATCAGGTCCAAACGGCACAGGAATATGCGAATTGGCACAACATCTCAGTTTGACATAGCCGAAGACCGTTTCGGGATTGCTGATGCGGAGCGAACCAGCGCTAATTAATACCCTAAGCTGCGGCTCGCAGATGCCGTGAACATGCATTTCGCAAGCCTCGTTATCGGTGATAGGTACGTTTTAGGAAGCTGTTACGTAAGTCCTCCAACGCTTGGAGCGCCAACTGGTCTTCCTGCGCACCTCAGAGTCAAACCGAGGGGATTGTCCGCACTTTATTCGCTGAGGGAGAGAAAGCACGCAGGTTCGGGTGGGACTGAAACAATAGGAGAATGCCGAGGGTATTCCATCTGGAGCCAGGAAGCAGTGAAGCGCCCAGCGTTATTGATTTAGCGGAAAAGGAACACCCGTACCTTACCTTGGCCGACCAGTTAATGCCTACATTTCCTGCCCTACCAGTCCCAGTTTTGGTAGTAATCTGAAGAAAGCAAAGGATTAGAAGAGCAATCGATAGTTCAGAGTAAAGAAGTGCACTTGACATAAGAAAATATTGCCAAGGCATGATGAAAAGTAGAGAAAGGAACTCAAAGCATGTAGCTGCGAGTTAGTCAGGAAAGGGGAACGGTTTCGTTTTGCCGCCCACACGCGTCAAGTGGCCGCTCAAACTTCTTAACAGTACATTCCCTGATAACACTATCCGGAAGCATATTACAACGCTCGAGAACTCTGCGTGAAAGCCGGAGTTCCGCCCTACTCCGACCGGACCTCGGTTTGTCCAGCTTCAAGGAATTGTTACACTCAACCGAAACCAGAACTACAGTATTGCAAATGGAACTTCAGTAGAAGCATTGACAACAGTACATCGGCAGTCCACACTGGGTACAGATCAACTGTTTAGTTTTACGCAGTTCACATGTTTTAGCTAAGCACTCGCTTTTGAACCAATCAATAAGCATCGCTGGTTGGTCGGGAGATGGACACTCACGCACTAGCGCGCACAAAGCAGCTCCACAGGGAAGGTAGTGTAGCGTGATCTTGACGCGCTCAACGACTGTATCGCTTTCCCCCTTTAGTTGGAGATATCCAGCTTGGAAACGATCGACCGGTCAGCGTCGGCGCCCAGAGCGCAGCAATTGTGACTCAGCTACCGGATCGGCGTCACACATGTGCATGTCGTTCGATGATTGAGCTTTCTGCTCTGACTCGGTAACTGTTTCTGTTTCGGACAATCTCGGTCGTACGTGATCTAAATGGCGTCGAACGATCCTGCCATCCTCAATCTCCGCTTATATTATCTGTCCGTCAGTTGTTTTAACGAAGCCTGGCTCCCACCCCGAGCCTGTAGATAAGCGGATGTAGATGGGATCTGAATCTGTCACATGCTTGTCTCTGTTACAAGTATCAAAACGCTATTTCAATCGTTGTTGTTTTTCCGAAACTTGTGGCTCAATAGACCCATGCAATAAATCCAGTCGTGTACGCGGTCGACGACCAAACATTAACTCTGCGGGGCTTCTGCTTGTGGTCTCGTTTGGCATGTTTCGATATGCGAACAAGGAACGATCCAAATGCACACGCAGCGGAGCATTTGGTTGTTTTATTGGCAGCTTCTTCACTGTTTGTACGGCTCTCTCCGCCAACCCATTAGAAGAAGGATGATAGGGTGCAGTTGTTATGTGTTTAATGCCGTTCGAGTTGCGGAAGGTAGAAAACTCAACACTGGCAAA